GACCCCGCTTGCGTCATAATTACATTACAATATCCGTGAAAGCTTTTTTTAATAATTGACATCGTCGCACCGAGCAAGCGAGCGAGCCGATGTGTATACGTATACAATTTTTGGACTGCTGCTGCTACGTATCGGCTTTTGATGCTGCTCATCGATACAGAGGTACGCTCTGCCGCGTATACGCAAGCTCTCTCTCTTGTTTTCCATCGATATAGATATCCTCGACGCAGATTTGATCAATTTCTCGAGTGGCAGTGGTGGCGCAGCAGCAGCAGCACTTAATCACCATCGCGGTAAAATTACTATTAATATATCGACTCAATTAAGCCTTTTGCCTGTATCCTCGCTCGCTCGCTTGCGTACGCGGTATATCGAAGTTTCAACCTCGTTCAATATTAGCTGCCACTCGCTCGCGCAAGCTGCAACTGACCAATATTAGCTGATGCGAAGAAGCGCAAAGCGAGCGAGGAGTCTTTTGAAATTCTACTGCGATGGTCAGCAAGAAGCTCTCCTCGCCCTCTGTCTCTCCTCTTTCTCTCTCTTGAAATTGATATCCATATAGAGCCAATTAAAGGGTCAATTTTACCCTTGCGCGGCCGACGAAACGTTGACTTATATCATCATCACTCCGAGGCAGCGTATATATAAGACCTCTCAAAGTAGAAACTTGGATTTGCTGTGCGTAACTATCTTACAATATCGCACAATATTATTACCCTCTTGCGCAAGTCCAACGCCTCAGAGTGGCCATTAGCTATCGATGGCCATGATTCGACGTGATTTTAGAGTACAGCACACCTCGAGAGACCTGCCAGTTCCAGAAGATTTAATATCTTAGCAATTAGTCGTATTACAATTGATAAAAGCTCGCAAGCTCAACCTTCCTTCGTTCAATTTTTTTTGTCTTGTGTCTCTGACGCCAAAAGTCTGGGGAAAGTATCTATCACTTTTAGCTCGCAGGACAGGCTCGATCGACACTTTCTCGATAGTTAGATCTAGTTCAAGTTAATTTCCAAGACTATAGATGTACTTTGAGCTTTTTCATCGATAGACGTGTGGCACGCGCTTATAAAACTGGGTGCTGTCATTCGCTGACATAACCATTCGCGTCAAGGAGTTACAAGCTAATTCCTCGGTGCACTATCCTTTAGGAATATTTGATCGAAAGCAATTATTCGCCGTGTTTTTTATTCTGTCCATCCACTCGAGCGTACGTAACAATAAAACACTCGAGCGGGTGCGCACTGCAATAACAAAAGCGAAACGAAACGGATAGAGTAAGAAGCTGGAAAAAAGCACGAGTTTGGCGAGCATCCACCAGCGAACTGTGCGACGAAACAAAAAAAAGACACGTTTAAAGAATTAAAGTATCTATAGCAAAAGAGATGGTCTCTCTTTCTCTCTCTCGCTGCGAGAGTATTGTCTGGTCTCGTGGCTTTTAAGCCTGCTCCAGCGCGCGATCCCGCGGAGAGTATAAATTGCAGAGTTGCGAGGATGCCAGGATCGGGGCCACGCTGCTCTCCTTCTCCTTCTTTCTCTCTTACTACGCTATGAAGAGAAATAAGAAATTAAGAGAGAGTCTTAGTGAAGAATAAAGCTAAGAATTAAGACAGACGAGAGTCGCAGGGAGAGAGAGAGAGAGAAAGAAAGAAAAAGCAGAGAATCCTCCGGTTCTCGGACGAAAGGAGTAGGATTCTTACTCGCGCGTCATTTAACAAAACAATTAGAAGCTAACCCCTTTTCTTCTCTCCTGCTGCAACGTCGTCTTAAGGATTCTCTTTTTACGCTTCGAGTAGATGACAAAATTGAGTTTTACTGCCGCAAAATACACAAGATGGGCACCCCGAGAAGGATCAGCGTTTGAATTTTCCATTGCGCGTACATTTATAACATTTTTGTTTCTTATTACACGAGCTGAAAGAAGCTCGAATTATACAGTCATGCACGCGAGTGCGCGGGCGCGCACAGGTATATTATAAGCTCGACTTTTTTCTGTCGCGCACGAGCTTTGGCGCAAAGTTCGCGGCAAAAACTTTTTCCATCCTAGCTACGCTCGCGTGACTTGCGCACGACACGCATTTGCTGTTGTGTAAAGAGCGAGGAAAAACCACCGCGTATGTATACCCCCTTTAAGACAACATGAATGCTCTGCTCTAGCAAAAGTAGCAAAAGAAGTAAAGCAAAAAAAAAGAAGCAGCGTAGAAAAAGATACATAATCCTCGCACGAAGGACTCTGTGACGACGTCGCGGTGCGCGGCCAATTATCGATGCCTCGTGACGTTTGATCAGAGACGTCGTCGTGTTGCAACGGAGCTTCGTGTTGATTTTTAAAACTCCTGCCGAGGAAAGAAAAAAGAGCGATGGAGCTGCTCGCATATCTCTCAAAGGACACGCTAAGTAGGTAGCGTGCGGAGACGGAATCGCGGAAAAAAAGATGTCTTTGAAGAATTTATACGAATGTCTCGCGACACGCGCGGGGCTTACTTTTTCGCGGCACCGCCTTATTAAGGTTAATTTTTTGTCTGTTGACTTTTTCTGACTTTTTATGTGTATGCGGCAAACTCGAATGGTGGAGGAAAAAAAATAAAGCAGCGAAAAAAATTGATCCTTTCATCATTGGCAAAAAGCAAAGCAATTATAAATTATAAGTAATAATTCAAACACATGCGCGCACGAAACGGATTAATTTCATCATCGATGTTGGCCCAACACTCGAGATTTCTCGGCGTGTGTGTGTGTGTGTGTGTGTACCCCCCACCCTCGACCTATGGTAGATTAAATCTGTAACTACTCGTGCAAGAGTCTGGCATCCCCCTCGCATGTGTACATTACAAGGAGAGACAGAGAGAGCGAGTAAGCGATGAAAAGAAAAATTTGGTTGAAAAATTTCGTCATCGGCTCTGAAACAAGATCGTTAAGTTAATTTTTTTCAAAGGAAGCAGAATCCCCCTCTTGAGCACACCTTGGCAGCATCAGCAGCATCAACAACCGTCGAAATAATAAAACCATCGTATCCCGAACGAGTATAACAAAGATAACGTCGTCGCGCGAGACGATCTCCCGAAAGAGTCTTACTTTTAAAAGCAGAGCGCCGCCAACGACTGCTACGACTACGACGACGACCATCTCCTCCACCTCCTTAGCGCGTTGAAATAGAAGGGATTAGTTTTGCTGTACGCCCACGCGGTAGCGGCGGTGGCTATATATACTGCGCGCGGGAGAGGCTTAGGCATTGATGAGGTTTTTAAATGGGCTTCCTCCTTTGATGCCACCACACGGCAGTGGCTCCGCTCTGCGCGAGGCCAAGAAACGCGAAAAGAAAATGGATCGAGACACGATATTTACAGGGAGATTAAAAAATCGTGGAGAAAAATTAAGAGTCTCTGTTCTCCCTTACTGCTTTTGTAGACTTAATTTTCAGCGATCCCACTCCCCGTTCAGCCCGTGCGCCGAAGATTTGTGATCCGATTTTTTGCGCAACTTGGACGTCGTCGTCGTCGTCCCCTTGGGTAAGATCTCTGTGAGATGCACGCGGAATTAAAAATTTTATAATTTCTCAGTTCGATTCAACGAATATTATACGTATAGCATATGCGATATTACGCCAACGCCGCGCTGCTCTATAATATGAACGCGTATAAACGCATATCATCGTCGGCGGGAAGGACGGGAAAATCTTTGCAAGCATAAGCGCGAGCGCGTGTATATATCATCGAAGCTCTAGCCGGCGAAAATCGAAGAGGTCGTCGAGGAAGGCTTTCGTCCATTAGCGTGAGTATAGACTCGAGGGTGGAGGAAGGGGGAACAGTTTGGAGCATGCCGGCTGCCGCTGCTGCGCGAATTTTACTTTGATGTCGCGGTTAATTTACTAATAACATCGACCAACGCTGCTGCCACTGACCACCGTCGTCGTAGTCGTGTGCCACACATATATATATATATATATATATATATACCCTCTAAATATTTGTATTGTCAACATATATGCCATATAAATATGGAGAGAGAGACTTGCGCGCGCGCGCAAAAAGGCAGGCAGGACTTTCATTCTGGTAAAGGATTCGCTTGGATACGGTACGCGCTCGCTGCTGCTGCTGCTGGCTGGTGGCAAATGGAGCATTAATTAGATGAGAGATAAAAATGTGGTACCACATTACAAAGTGATTTCCGGTATAAACTTTCGACTATTTGATTACACTCGAACTCGCCGCAAGAGACTTGCGTAAATATTAACGTTTTGCAAAATATAATTTCGCCTCGAATCAAATGTTATATGCGTATATCGAGTTGTCTGCGCAATCAACCATTAGAATCATTAATCCTCGGCTATTATTCAAATGGGGACGATCGAAAAAATTAAGATTTGTTGAAAAAAAAAAAAAAAGAAGAAAAGAAGTTGGCAAACTAAAGGGCTATTTTTCAGGGTCTCGTTGTCGTCTTCCACAGGGCGAGGTGACTAAATTTTCTTCGTGCTAAGCCTCCGGCGTAATCCCGCCCTTAATATTCAAAAACGTGATCGCCTTGCCAAGTCGAGTGTGGGACGGAGAAGCACAGTGAGAGAGAGTTATGGATGAAGACAAGAAAAAGAAGCGCAGCAGCTGACCCTCTTACGGGCTTTTGATATGCTAATTAGTATTCGTCATTTCTCCGCGAATTAAGTGCGATTACAAGCGTGTAGAGATTTTCTTCTTTTTCTGCTCGTCATTTTGTTTCGTTTCATCCTTGTACTTACTTATACTACGCGTAGTAATTTTATCTAGAAAATTTTTGACGAAATAAAAAAGAACCAGGTGAACGGACTTAATGCGCGCGAGGTGTGTGCCATTGTACACCGCGGGCTTATCTCGATGCCAAGAGAGATAGAGTCATGGCGGTGTGGAGTGTTATCTTGACTCGAGCGGCCGTCGGCAGAGAGATAAGGAAGAGTGGCAAAGGTGTCATACTTTACACGGGCCAATATGCGGCAACGACTGCATCATCGTCATCGGCATACCTGAGCTTGTGCGGCGCTCGAAAGCCAGAGAGAGTAAGATTTATGTATAGACAAGTGACTAGTCGAGACACGCATTTCTGTCATGAAATGAAAAAAAACGTCGTCCGCAGGAGTACCGCGAGTGAATGAGCGTGATTACTTCGATTCAAGAAAAAAACAGTGAATTATTTATTGTTAGTGCTGTGAGATAGGTGAGTAAACGCGTTCAGTTTTTCATTTTTTCATGCGGTGTTTGAATAATTTAAAGATAATAAATGCCCTCGTGTACATTAATATTGCTTCGAAGTTAAAAATGAGTTATAACGATGATGATCATTTGATTTTTTAATTAATGTTTTGAATTTGGACGCAATGCTGTACGTGTCTACGTGATTATGGTCTCGAAAAGTGCCATAAGTGTAATGTGATGTACAGAGTGGATTGAAATACCGTAAAGTACAATAGCTCTAATCTCTATGTAGTGAATCGATATACATGACTCAGAGCCACTCATATAGAGATAAAAGTCTGGATATACATTCGTGTAAAGCTTTTTTAGGCGTCAAATCCATATACACACACGTAATAGGCTTATATTTTTGTGTATAATTTTAACAGAGAGTCGTGTACCAGCGGAAGACATGTCGCTGCGCCCGCAAGAGATCGCGCGCTCCGAGGAGATGGAGAGCAGCCTCGAGGGTCCGGCCAACTCCTTGACCGACGAGTCGATCGATTGCGGCTGCGGACGCTATCAGCTGCCCAAGCTCGCGAGATTCGCCACGAGGCGAGTCTTTCTGGCTCTGCTGTGCTGCATCGGCGTGCTTCAGGCCGCGGCGCAGACCTACTTGCACGTCGTGGCCTCGACGATCGCCAGGAGATTCGAGATCGATCCAAATGCCATGGGTACGTGCCTCACTACCGAGTCTAATATATGTTGACTAAAAAGTCACTCGTTACAGAATGGATCCTATACACCTCGGAGATTGCCTTGCTGGTGGCCGGTCTGACGATAGCCTACTGGGGCGACAGAATACACAGAGCGGCGTGGCTGGGCGGTACGGTACTGGTGCAGAGCGCCGGCCTCCTCGCCCTCGTTATTCCACACATCTCGCACTCGGTGAAGATCATCGAGCAGCGCGAAATCGAGGATCGAAATATCACCCACATGTCTATTTACGCTGGTCAGTGTTGCAAAAATATTATTGTTACATATTCATTTGGCTGACCTACATTGCACTCAACTTATCTACATACTATGCTATATAATACGCTTAGCTTATCTCGCGCGTTTATCTTTAAATAATATTTCGTTTCTTTTTTTTCAACAGAGGAACATCCGGATCTCTGCATAGAGTCGCTGTCGCGAATAATGATGCCTCAAACCCTGCCGCAGGTATCGGCCATGGTTATTCTGATCATCGTTCAAATGATCACGGCTGCCGCCAACGTCGCTTACTGCGCCCTCGGACTGTCGTACCTCGATGACAACAGCAAAACCGAGCAGGCGCCGGTCTACTTGGCCATCGTCGTGGCCGTGAAAGCCCTGGGAAGTGTTCTGGGATACATGATGGGATGGGGATTTTTAAGGTATGATTTCACGATCGCTATGATTGGGAAAAGATTTGAGCGTCGTTTCAAAATTTGCAGAATTGACGCGGACAACCTCAGCTCCATCCAGTCCTACAGAGATCAGCTCGGAGCCTGGTGGCTGGGCTGGCCCATCTTCGCTGTTCTCCTCGTCGCCCCGGGCATATTCATGTCGATATTCTCGAGAAAACTGCCATCGAAGCTGGTCGAGGAGACGGCCGCGGAGATACTCGATCAATCCGGCACCCTGCGAGGCTCGCAGAGGTTCACCGTGAAAAAAGTCGGCAGCATCGAGTTCTTCCCGTCTATGTTCCGACTGATAAGCAACAAGATTCTGATCTTCAACATTGTCTCCGCGGCCTTCTTCTTCGCGGCTCTGGCCAATTTTCTGTCCAAAGAAAATGTCTTTCTCGAGACCAAGTTCTACGCTCCTCGGCCCAATGGAATATTGATGGGCTTCGGAGATCCGATTGTATCCCGAGTAATCATGGGTTAGTTACATTTTTTCATTATCAAAAACATAAATATAATAACAAAAATAATAATGTCGTGAATATTTCTCAGCAATCATGAAACCTGTACTTATCGGATTAGCGATCGTCATATCCGGTTTAGTCATAGCGCGGTCCAAGCCTCAAGCCAAGTGGTTGGTTTGCTACACTATGGCAGTCATCGCTGTCGCAGCGGTAATCGTATTCGGCTTTGCTTTCAGTGGATGCACAAAAGTCGAAATAGTCAGTGATCCCAACGTCAAAGTGTGAGTATAACAAAAAAAATAAAATCATTTTATACGATACTCATATACTAATTTAATATAAACTTATTATTCGCTGTGCAGCTTCGATCCTCTCATATTTTGCAATAGAAATTGTCACTGCTCCAAGGATGCGGATTTCCGACCGGTTTGCGACAGCACCGGCAAGTACATGTACTACAGTCCCTGTCACGCCGGCTGTTCCTCCATGAGAAACGATCTCAATACCAGAGTCTACTCGAACTGTTCTTGCGCCTACGAGATGACTACGATAGTACAGGATCAAGAAACGATCATCGATTTGAGCACCTTCGAAGTCAGCGAAGGCGCCTGCCAGTTGGGTAGCTGTCAAGTCGGCTGGATACTCTACGAGATTTTCATGGCGCTGGTTTACACCGCGGCAGGATCCACGATAATCGGAGATCTGTTGATCAATTTGAGGACGGTCAATGCTCAGGACAAGGCATTGACCATCGGCTACGCGATGGCGTTGATCAGTTTCTTCGCGTTCGTTCCGATCAAAATTCTGTACGACGAATTGACGAACCTCACGTGCGTACACTGGGGACACGACCAACGCGTTTGCCATCTTCATGACTCAACTACGTTGGGTTATTACCTGTGCTTCCTCACCTCCGGTCTGCTTGTCATCGGCAATTTATTCAAAATTGGAACTTGGGCTTTCTTGGAAAACTTGGAATTGTACGAGGATGAAATCGACGAACCCACGGCCACGGAGATGCAGGTTTTCAGTAGCCCTCAAGAGGAGCCGCTACTTGAAGCAGATCAAGCTCCCGAAGAGCCGGAACAATCCAATGACAATGATAATCCAAGTGGCAATGGTATGTTGTCGACTTTTACCTATATCTAATATTTCGATAAATTTGAAGTTTTGATTGCATCGTTGTAATTTCAGCTGATGTTCCGGATAACAGCTTCAAACCTGTATCCATTCTGAAGAAGCCCGACTCGAGTAAAGGAAACGGTCCGATCGTGGAATTCCAGGATATACCTCAATCCAGTTACTCTCAAGTCCAGATTCGCGAAGAGCCCGTCGCAGCACAAGACGCGGCGTCGGAAAGCACGAATTTCCTCAGCGACGTTGAGCAAGACGCGGAAAGTTCCGACGACAGTCCCGTCATGAGCAAGGCTCCAGGCCCGCAAGTTCCTTACAGGCCTCTGGATCTGGATTCTGATGCCGATAGTAACTGCAACGACGAAAGCGCGAAAAAATTCGTGCCCGTCGAAGATGGTCACTACTACACCAATATGCGCTTCCCCGATCCGAGCGACTACGAGGTCCCGAAAAAATTCAAGCCTCGCTCGTCCGTCGGCAATTTCAACGAAGTCGGCATTCCGGTCGTGGAGTCGTACGAACCTCAGGAATCGTCGGCTTGCGTCAAGTCTCCGACAATCATGGAGGCTCACATCAAGCATCTGCAGCGAAATCCAAGTCAGGAACTGTTGGACGAAGCTCGATCGATCTACAAGTCCTCGTTGAAGGTCGATATCTCCGAGTCGGAGGACATTCCCGAGAATCATTTCCGACCGATCGAGGTCCCTCCGAGCTCGCTGCTGCGGCCACAGTCGAGAGATCAGGCCTCGTCGGGTTTCGGAAGCTTGCAAGACATAAGGGACAAGGCTAAATCGCCAGTCGTCGCCCCCGCGCTATCGCAGGAGAGCTTCTGCTCCATTCCTCCAGTGACGAACAATGAGCTGTCTTTCGGAAGTCCATTGTGTACAGATTTGTAAATACATAATCATGAGGATAGTTTCCTATTCAACGTATTATATAATATTAGGTTCATCGAAATTTTTATGCACGCCCTCTTGAAACATCGCATTATTTATTTCATAAGTTTGATTATAATTTAATATTTTTATATCTATATCATACAGAAAGTAACTAATTTTACGTGGCTATAAAAGAGAAGATTTATATTAATCCAAATAATTTATTTTAAACAACAATGTCAACTTGAAAAACAACCACCACTTTAAATTAATCGACATATTTACAATTTAAAAGAGTTAAGCTTAATTTTAAACTGATGGTTATCCTAATTAACTGTCTCCATTTCCACTCCTCTCTCGTGTTCCTCTTCTTCCTCGAAGACTTTCACGTTCTTGACGTAATACCACACGCCTACATCGAAACATACGCCGATCGAAACGAATCCTAAAACCGAAAAGGAGAAAAAAAATTTGTATATAATTGAGTGGAAATTCGTACTCCAAGATTTTCACCTGCAGCCGTGTAATTCACGAGACTCCTCAAAGCACTCGCGTTGTAAAGCCAGCAGTTGCCGTTTCCACCACAAGTTTTGCCCCACATGACACAAGTATAATCTGCCGAAAAAAAATACAATTGTTATTTAAAATCATTTTTTCCGGAAGTAAATTAAAAAAGACGAACCATAAATGTATCCAAAAAGTATGGGTGCTGGGATGAACGCCAACAGACTCATCATCGACAAACCAGCCCCGAGTGCCATCGATTTGTCCTTGTCGCTCACGCAGCGCACCGACACGAGAAAGTTGGAGGTTCTGCCGGAGGCGCCGATCAGTTTGACCACGCATACGATGGCTATGAAAATTTTCAGATACTTGGTGCAGTCCAGCGGACACGGACCGAGCCTGGCCGAACCGCCGAATTTTCGTTCTGGTATGGACGACGCTACGCAGCTGCAATTGGTATAGCTGAGTCCACCACTTTTGTGACCGAGCTGCAATTTTGAACGTTGTTTAAATTCATGGTTAGCATCGGTATAGGTAATTTCGTGCTTATAAGAGATGCGCGGGACCTAAAAAAACTTGATATCCTATCGCTATAATGCGATCATTCCAATCCATAATGCGTTCATTTTGAAGGCAGAATTAAGCCGTAATTTTTGTAAAATAGAGGTACATTTTGTAAAATTATCGATGTGACTGCTGCAAATATTTTACTCTACAGTGGAGAAACTACATTCTTGCAATAAGCCAGTGTTTACAAATTGGTGAGTTCGAGGTACAGTGTTGGTCACTCGACATAACCTTAAATATTATCTCATTGTTCGTTCTGAAAATTCAGAGTGAAAATGTTATCAAACAAGTGATGGAGAACGCCGAAAACATAATTTGGTATAAGATTTATTTTTGATTGCCCTGATATATTTTAAACTGATCCCTTCATCAAACGTAATATTTCTACAGAATAAAAAAAGAGCCGAAAGATACTTGGCCAGATGCTGACAAAAATTACAATTTCGATTCAGTGGACTCCAAAAACTTTGAAACATTCACATTTTGTGAGTCATCGGTAAGTTCAACGATTTGCATAATGTTTTATTTTTTCGCTATCCATAACAACTGAATAATTTTAATTTTAGACAAACCACATAAATGAGGCTATTGTCTTACATGAAGATTTAGATGAATAGTATATTTCTCAATGGGTGCACATATGGTTTTTTAGCAAAACGAGGGATTATAGCACGAGCCGAAGGCGAATGCTGTAACGAGTTTTGTTAAAAAACCATATCTGCACCAGTTTGAGATACTATTTTTCCTACGAGAGCCTAAAATTAGCGGCAAAGTTGCGTATTTTAGGTTAGAGAGCAAAAATGTGAAACTTGAATCGACGTCTCTATCGACAACCATTTGCAAAACTGAGTATCAGAGTTATCCATTTGATGTAAAAATAGAACACCAAATTAAGACCAGTTACATACCAAACAAATTATATCATAAGTGTAATTTGTGTCGGAAAATTTATAAAAGAAAAGTGAGTCTTACAAAGCATGTCAATAATATACACAATAGGGCAAAACATATGAATATGAAATTTGTAATGAATCATTTTCATGCAAGAATTATCTCAATAAACACATGAGGATATTATACACAATCGGAGCACACCCTCTGAATGTTTAATTTGTCACAAATCATTTGGACTGAAGGGTAACCTCAAAACTCATTTAAATACAGTACATAATCGGAGTAAACCCGTCGAGTGTGAAATGTGTCACAAATCATTTGGGCAAAAAGGTACCCTCAAGACTCACATAAATGCATTACATGATCGTCAAAAACCCTTCGAGTGTGATATTTGCCACAAATCTTTTGGACAAAAGGGTGACCTCAATAAACATACAATTACTGTTCATGATCGGAGTAAGCCCTATGAGCGCGACATTTATCACAAATCATTTGGACAAAAAAGTAATCTCAAAACTCACATAAATTCAGTTCATAATTATAATAAACCCTTCGAATGCGACATTTGTCGCAAATTATTTGGATACCGGAATAAACTGAAGAGATAAACGTAATGACAGTACATAATCAGAGCAAACCGTTCGAGTGTGAGATTTGTCATAAATTTTTTGGTCACAAGGGTGACCTCAATAGGCACATAAATACAGTACATAACGGCAGTAAACCCTTCGAATGTGACATTTGTTACAAATCATTTGGGCAAAAAGGTCAACTCAAACGTCACGTCAACACAGTACACAATAAAAGCAAACTCTTTGAATGTGGCATTTGTCACATATCATTTGGAGAAAAGGGTACCCTCAAAACTCACATAAATTCAGTTCATAATTATAACAAACCCTTTTAATGTGACATTTGTCGCAAATTATTTAGTTGCATCAGTGATCTCAAAAAACACATGAATGGAGTACATGATCGGACTATTTCATTCAAATGTGAGATTTGTCAAGCATTATTTGGATTCTAAAGTTACATGAAACGTCATGTGAATGCAGTACAAGAACGTAGCATACCTTAGAAGAGTGAGATTTGTTCGGAGATATTTGGACCAAATAAAGGCTTCTGCAATCGCATGAGTATGATAACAAAAATTATAATATCTTTCTCATCAATATTATTTAAATTTGTGAATAACAATAAAATATTTGAAACTATTATTCATTTTTTTGTGACTTCAATCAAACCCTTATATTAACATGGTTTTATTTTCAATTACTCTAAACTATATTGCTGTTGTACCGATTTTTCAACATTCCAATCATCAGATGAAACTTTTCCCAATTACTTACTGCCCATAAAAAATTGCTCGAAATGGATTATACTTTTCATTGGTCTGCATTAGCCAAGTTAGTAAAATTGACTTAGGCATCGAACAAATTAAGTCAAACTCATACTGATATCATGCCAAAAATATAAATTCCCTAATGAAAGAATTTTATTATGAGGTTTAGATTAACTAACTCTTTCTTAGTGCGTTTCGTGTACCATAAAATAATTTTTATTATTTTAATTTTTTTTGTAATAATATACCGTTGATGAAAAGTGTTTACTATTCAATAGACATGAAAATACGTAATGAAAGTTATTCATTTATATATTACAGTGGCTTAGATTTGTCTCGTTCTGATTTTTTAGGTCGAGTTTCATAACATAATTTGTAAATATTATTATTTAAATTTGAGCTAGTTAGCTCAAATGATACGTCAAAATCAAAACATAAAGTATAATCGTTAACCGAATTTCAAGAGTGAAAGATGAAATCGAGTGGTGTATTTAACTGGGCCGTTAGGTAATTTTTGAGTAATAAAAAGATAATTTCGAAAATATTATACTATATTACTTTATCTTATTGAAATTATTTCAGGATGAAAGAAGAACCTCATGATAGATTGCTTACCGAAAGTGATTATAGAACAAATGACGAGACAACTGATACTAAAAATGTCCAATACTTAAAGTTTTTGCAAAACAATCCAGTAAGTTTTGATATCATCTATGACTATCATAATCAACATATCTAACGAAAATGCTTGAATTCTCTCCCAGATCCAAATTCTTGAAAAAAATCATGAAAGTATACTCAATGACGATGTGGACATACTTTTCGAATAAAGACGTCAAGTCTGATATGAGGCTATTAGCAGTTGAAAAAATGGACGATTATTCTCCAAATCAGTTTCGGAGTATGAAACACGACGATGATTTTAAAACTCAACCCTTAATTAAAAGAGAAATCGTGAGGGAACTTAAGAAAGAAATTTTTGACAATCATGCAGAAGAGTCGAATTTGAACTCTGACTGTGAACCAGGTATACAAAATAAAAAAAATAATCACGAAAAAGTCTAATTATGAGCGTAAACTAAAGACACAGGTTAACACGGTGCATAGTAATAGCACCCATGCGTGTGACAAGTGTGGCAAACATTTAAACATAAAGGTAATCTTGAAAATCACATCGATTCGGTTCACGCTTACGTTACCCACGCGTGTAATGTATGTGGAAAGGTATTTTCTCGACTAGGTAATCTCAGAATGCACGTTGAAGCGGCACATAGTAGTATTACCCAGACCTATGTGTGTAATAGATGTGAAAAGACATATAAATGGAAGAATGCTCTCAAAAAGCACATCGAAGCATCTCATAGTAATATTATTCATGCATTTAATAATTGTGAAAAGACTTTCAAACGAAAGGATTCGTTGAAGATACACATCGAAGTGTTGCATGATGATATCACTCACCCATGTGATATATGCGGAAAATCATTTTCACAAAAAATTCATCTCAAAACCCACATTGAATCGGTGCATTATAAGATTACTTATACATGTTATACTTACGGAATAACACACTCATGAAAGGACCGACTCAAAAGGCATATTCATTCGGTGCATCACTAGCTCGTTACGACTTGACACGTTTATAAAATTTAATGTACTCGTTCAGAAAACTAATATAGTATATTTTGTAACAAGTGCGCGAAGCAGTTGACTCATCCAGGAGTTGTTTTCACCCGAGCGTAGCGAGGGTGCAAAGACTCCTGGGTGAGTCAACTTCCTCGCGGACTAGTTGCAAACGATATTTTTTAACTCTGCTTGCGAGAAACTAGGGTTTTCTGACGCTTTAAGGTTAGAAAACCCGTGTTTCGCGCACGCAGTGTTGAAAAAAAATTTTAGTTAAAAATAATATCATGAGTTTTTCCAATCTTATCTCTTCATGTAAAAACAATTTTTGAGTTTAAAAAAAAATTAATAAAATTTTGAAGTAAAATGATAGGTACGCATGACTTTCAATTATTGACTAATAATATAATGTAAATTTCATAACACTTTAGTAACTTTTCTGCGTGCTTCAAAATTGCTTTCTCCATTTTTTATACGAGGACTTTGTGTTGCCTCGCTAAACGCTTTTTTGGAGTTGAGATGGAAGTCAGCCTCGACCCAGCTCGAGTCTCAAGAAAAAACATCAACAGCTTCTATAATATAATTATTAATTAGGCAAGCGCGACTTACGTCGAAAGAGCTGCAACCCGCGTGACAGGCCGATATGAAGGTCTGCCCGTCCTCGGCGCACACCGGATTGTAAGTAATGTAGTCGCAGTTGCAGTTCTGATTGCAGGGCAGCTCGGTCATGAGGGAACCGTCGCGCGACAGCGAGATACGCTGATCGACCGCCGGACAGCCCAGCGAGGCGTAGCCGATGATGGCGACGACCGTCGTGACGCCGACCAGCACGTTCCAGAAGGCCAAGGAGCGAGCCTTGGGCCGAAACGTCTGGATGAAGGCGCCGGCGCCGAGAATGCCGATGGCGCTGCAGAACAGGCTCGAGCTGCCGGTGAGCAGGGCCGCCGCCGAGGCGCTCTGCTTGTACTGGATCTCGATGTACTTGGGCATGAAGGTCATGTAGGCACTGTAGCCGAGTATGTAGAAGACGGAGGCGATGTTGTTGCACATCAGAGCCTTGTTGCGCAGCAGTCGCTTGAACGTCTTCCACAGATCGCCGAACGAGGCCTTCTCGTCCTCGGCCTCGTTGACAGCGAGGTCGTTGATTTTCTTGTTCGAGGCAGCCTTACTGGCTACGGTCTCGGGCAAGGCTCGAGGAAACAGAGCTATGATGCTGCCGAAGATTATGAGCAGAACCGCGAGGATGATCCAGCCGCTCCACCAAGCTCCGAGCCATCTGGTGCATTTTGGATTGATTATACATCCGTGTCAGTTTTTAAAAGATAATAATTCACCTCGGATCTGTCTTGTTGATGATCGGCGTCAAATTCGGACTGATGTAGTACTTCAGAGTGATGGTCGACAAACCGTAACCCGCCACGGGCCCCAACATCCTCAAGAAGTACGTGAAACTAATGATGATCGGAGTCTTGGCTCTCTGCGTATTGTCGTCCATGTAGGATATTCCCAACGTACTGAACAGCGAATTGCCGATACCCAATATGAATTGGGCAATAAACAGGATGTACTTGGTCTCGTGACTGCCCGTGGCCTCGATGCAGTCGTCGTCGTCGCGCTCCAGCGTGCACAGGGCCTTCTTGTAGGACTCGCTCAAGGACTGCGTCGAGTTGGCGCCGTACTCCTTGGTCAGCAGCAGGGCGTTCTCACCGGGGCCGTAGAGCAGGTGAGGTATCACGTTGATGAAGCAGAAGCAGGCGACCTAAGAACAACACTATTAATCTTGAGATACTGTCGTTTTTATAGGCATTAGGGAAAAAATAGACTCACCAGATATACACCGATGGCTATCCATCGCGGTCTGTGATGCTTGTCCGCGTAGTAAGAAATCCATATGGATACGATGATTTGCGAAATGTCGTTGCCTATCGCTATAACACCTGTGGAGAAAAATGTCAATGAAACTATTGTCAATTTATTACACGATCATCCCCACCTATGGCTTTGGAAGGTATCTTGAACCTCTTCTCCATGGTCGAGAAGGTGCTGGAGGCGTATGACGAGCAAGCCATGAACAGACATCCTAGGGCTCCGTAAAGACTGATATAGATCTTTCGCTTGGCGAATTTCTGGATGAACTCGCCTTGCACGAACGAGATGCCGCATCTCGTGTCCTCGTAATGCTGTCGCTGCTGCTGCTCTTGAAACAATTTGCTGCTGTTGTTGTTGTTGAGAGCGGGTCTGAGCAGTGGCATCTGAATTTCGGTGGCTTTAACCGACTCGGTTGTCGCTGCCGCTGGCGGCGGCGGTGCATCGTAACTCGCCAAGGCGCTGTTGTTTGCTCGATCATTCGTCATCGTAGTGTATATTTTCACTTGCAACAAAAATGACAAAATGATTTATCAGCGCGGGGCTCTCTTCGCGCGCAAATTGATTAGGATGCGCATAGAGGAGAGCTCACGCTTGCAATTGTGCATGTGAGAATAGAGAAGCACTCGAGCTCGCGCGCCGCGCGTCAATATTTGCGACTCGCGGCGTTGATATTTGGACAAGGCGCCGATTTACCGAGCGATAAACGGAGCGATATCGTTGCGCCTTCTAAGCTCACTCTTTCTCTCTCGCGAGCGAGTACGAAACGAGCTTAGAATCGCTCTCGGCGCTTCTCGTCTTACGCGCGTGGCTGACGATTTTTCGCGCGCGAGATAGACGCCTCGACTCTCGATTTCGCGGTTGTCTAGTGCCTCGTAATCTTGCCCGACTGAATAAAAAATGTTCGAAAGGCCCTTACTTGGCATCGAGCTTGCGCTCGATCTTAAGAGAGAGTCACGTGGAATGATACGCAGCTGTGACTTTTAAATTCAAAGAGAATAGAGCGTTCTAGCGACTGTTAAAACAATTTACATTCAAATTAATGTGATTTTATTCGAATCTAATGAAATTAACTATCATTCGTACTTATATTTAAAAATCGAATTACGTTGCATTTATTACTACAGTATCGTTAATTTTCGAAAATCTGCTCCGAGGCTCTAAAATTTCTTAGATTCTATAGGTTATTTGTCTTAATTAAAGATATAGGAATGTTTTCTAGATATCTTATATTACCAAAACAACATCCAATTCCCTTAGCAATGGCATCTTCTTCAAGTAATCAATTGAATTTAATCAAAGAACTGGAAATAGGGTGATTTTACAAAACCATGCTTGTACTTATACAATTATAATTACTTTGCCACTTGCAAATTTACAGATTAAGTAGCATTAGCCATCTAGTGGCGGAGGATGGTTTAATTTTTAAATGAATCTTCATGAATTTTTATAGCAATTTCAATCATAATGTTGGAGTTTGAGTTTGGAATGTGATCTCTTTTGTTCATTATGGTGAATATTTTTTTAATAATAATGAAAAAATATAAATTAAGAGTGATTAATTTTCAACACAAACTTCATGCAAAATTACTTTAAATAAGATTAAGCAGCGGTCACTTTAATTTCAATGTCTGATCTGTATTAAATTTTACGTTTTTTTCAACAGTGTGCGAATAAATGTTACGGTGTTGCGCACGTCGCTCTCATAAGCATATGATTCAATTCATTTACAAATAACTTAATGCGATAAAAGATATGAATTACAACTACGATATAATTTCGAGAGTATAATTATCCTGTCGTTGTAAAATTCTTTTATAACACGAGAGATTCGCGCGACGCTCCAGAATCGAGTCGACTTCGTACGGGCAATACGATGCGATTGTATTGTCTAGTCGATTTTATCGTTATAATAATTGAAACATCCTATCGCGGACAAATTAAATAAATATGAACGATAATTCTCAAACGCAAAAATAAATAAAATGTTTTTTTGCACACACTCATTGTTTGTTAGCGAGTCGAGGAGATAAAGTTGAATTTCGCTCAAATAACTTTGGCATCGATGTCAAAAACATTATACGCGTGTAAGTTTATAAATCGACGAATTAGTGCGTAAAAGAGATTCCTTCTATCATAGTTCAATTTTTATATATAAAGCATAAAAAAGCTCGAAACTTTGAATAAATAAGTATACAATTACATGGAATTTTCTCAGGAGTGTCAGTGATTTACAATTCAGAGATCACAACAGGTAAAATAACAATAAACGTTATGGAGAGAGGAGAAAACTGAAGCATAAGAAATTCTTTTTCCTTTTGTTTTTTTCTTCACATTCACTGTAAAATCTCTTTGAAATGTGGTAAAAATTAATTTGTCAATTATTTCGTCGACTTCACGTGTTAGTTTTCATGTTTTCACGATACTGATCACTCTTAAACAGCTGGATCTCGACAAAGTACACAAGACACTCGTATATAATTACAGAATTTTTTTTCGCGTACTCGAAAAATTTGCAAATCACTCATTTTATCTTAAATATCCTTTCTTTCTTCATCGTCGGCCGCACGATTTCAAGCACGGGCAAAATATACGACGACTTACGTGTATACGATGCGCACTCGTATGTATATTACAATATGCTATATATTCAGTTCACTTTAATTCACGCACGCGCGCACATAGAGGGAATATCTCTTCAATCCTAGACTCTCTTTCACAAAAGCTCGGTAACAACGATGTCTCTCTCTACCTATGACAGAGAGAACTCCCCACCTTTGGGGCCAAGATTGCTCGCAGTTTAACCGCGTTTGTATCCAATCTGCAGCAGCAGCAGCAGCATAAGTTCGTGCTGCTACTACGAAGGAAAAAACATTACATATAAAAGATACAAAAGTGTGATAAACCCAGATATTATGCGTATAATATCGGTATTCGTTGAAAATTGTATTGTCATGGAAATTTTTATTAATTCAATATTTGATGACTCTGGTTGGGGGGAACCAAAAAAAATAGAGAAACAAAAGAGTCTCTCGGAGCTTCAGACGAAAGTTTTTGAACTCACCTATCAATGTGAATGAACTCGCGTCTAAACTTAAACGAATTACGTTATGTTGCAGAAATCGGAAAAAAGGGTGAAAGAAAAAAAAAGATATTATCTCTCTCGAGATATTGCATTACATAATATTATCGGGAATAACGTGTGTCCCAAGCCGCGATGACGCTAAAATTTTTCGATAAAAAAAATCAAAATATCGTCATCGTTAATTGCCGCGTACATACCTACGTATACGAAAAGTGCAGAAATGCGCAACGTATCGTTTATACGAGTGCAATGGCTGTTCATACATACGAAAAAAAAAAATTATCGATCCAATAGCGCCTAGTTATCGACATTTTGTATTAAAAGTAGATCGACCGTCACCGCCGCGTCAGGTGCTGCTGCACATAAATCGCCGCAATAATAAGATATCCGAGGCAACCGATAACATTTGTTTGATTTTATAAAAAAATTTGTTCAGATCGTGCGCTGCTGTCAATTGCACCACCGCAAGTTTTGCAGATTCATTCATCCATGTGTGTGTGATGTAAATAGAATTTTAAGGAGGCGATAATAATCAATTGCCGATGCACACAACGATTCCCCCCCACATCCCAAAATTGACGTAATTTTATTGGGCAACAATTACGCGTGCGAAAGGCTGCTGCGCTCGATGTACAGACACTGCAGCTTGGTAATGAGCCACCGAACGGACACGGCCGTTCATAGCCGTTAATGTCGTTAGAATTTCGTGACATATATGCACTCTGCGCACGCATACACACCCGCCCGCACTCTCGGCAGCAGCAGCAGCAGCAGCAGCGATTAGTTTTGGTGGGAGAAATGCACACGGATGGTATCGATGTATTGAAAGTGAATTAAAGGTGCTCTCCGCAAACTTTTCGATTTACCTCGAGCACAAAGGATACATTTCCCCCATGCAGCGCTGCTGACGAGGCTTCGAAAAAATGTTCGAAGATTATAAGAACCGCAAGTTGTATATTGAATAAACTTCCTTGATATATATTTTATGCAATGCAATCGTATATAATTTTGCCTTCAAATCTGCAGGCCGGACATCGTATGTGCTGGCGTTGATCTCCTACTAAGATGCGACGAAACTGCACTTAAGTCGCAGCTGACTCTGAATTGCCCCGTCTCTCTCTCTCTCTCTCTCGCTCGAGATCGAGCTTGCAGTGCTGCACCGAAGAAGAATCAAGGCCGGACGACAACGACGAGTGAGAGAGTGAGAGATTAGGAGGACGATTAGAGGTGCCACACTGCCGCACAGATGCCGAACGGATTTACTTCAGAAGCGTCCGAGAGTTACCCAAGATAAAGAGAATTGCAGCACTGCCAATTGCTATTGCGTCATGTTTATAAAAAATAAATAAAAACGGCCTACGAAAGCTTTCGATCTATGTACTGTATATATATTTATTTTTTCGTAAAAATGCATTTCTCGTATACACACACAATGTGAACTTGTGTCAAAGTTTTTCTAATATTATCATGTATTATATAAAATGTATCAACTGGCGCACTGTTTGCTTTGGTACAAGTTGCGGTATTTACATTTACAATCGTTTTATATACTTCTTTATTATTTATTGTTTTTTGTAATCAATATATTTACACGAAAAAAGTATGTACAATAACAAAACCTGCATAATTGGAGCCATAATCAGCGATGTAATTTTCCCCACTTCAAGTCGATAAACGGCTCGATGGCTGATCGTTCGGTTCTGCCCCCTCTTCTTCCTCCTCCTCGTCACCGTAGAGATCGATGCCCTTTGACAGAAAGCAGACTCTCATGTCGAAGAACACACCCACGAGGCAGAGAGCTGCATAAAAAATCGAACGATCAGATGGATGTCCTTAAGGATAAAGGACCTTTCAATTAACTGTACTCACCAGCCGCCGCGACGTTGACGTAAAATCGAAAATCATCGCGATGATAGACCCAGCAGTTACCGCGACTCTTACACGATATGTCCCATACCATGCAGGTCGAGTCCATGATGGCCCCGAAAACGATGGGCCCGGGTATCAGAGCGAACAGGGACACGACCAGCAGCGAGAATCCCAGGGCCAGACTCTTGTCCCTCATCTCGACGCAGCGGTAATTGATCAGGACGTTGCCGATGCGTCCGGAACAGCCGAAAATATTCATCAGCATGGTCACGACGGAGAAGAGCAGGTAGGGCGAGAAACAGTCGTGCTTGCAGGGTCCCGCGGTGACGTGGTCGTTGGCCAGCCAAAAGTTCGGCCCCGAGGCGGGCGGCTCGACGAGGTGCGTCACGCAGCTGCAGTCGCTGAACGTCGTCTCGTTGACGACCGCCCGGCAACCGGCGTGACACGCCGAGAAAAAAGTCGTCTTGCTCGCTTCGTGGCAGACAGGCGAAAATTTCACGTTGCCACAGTTGCAGGCTGCGTTGCACGGAGCCGTTAAATTTACCCTAGGAGCGAGCAAAATTTTTTCAACTTGCGTTAATTTTTTCTGTTTTGTTTTCTTTTGCGATCTTCTTCAAATGAGCAATGATAAAAACTGACTGCATAGAATCAAAATCTATTCCTTGGATACCGCCGGTCTCGCAAGTGAGAAACATTATCCAGATTTGACCGAAGAAGAAGCACAGGCCAACCATGACGTTCCAGAATAAAAGGGTTCTTGGAGCGGGTTTGTATTTTCCTATGATTGCTCCGGATATCAAAAATCCAAGAACCATGCCGAACAACGTCAAAGGGCCTGAATAGTAAATTATATTTATTAATCTAAAAGTTGCAAAAAAAAAAAATTGTCTTAACAGAAGCAAAAACCTGTTATGATGGTGCCACCCCCCGGCGACATTTGGAACTGTATTTCCAAATATTTTGCGATGAAATTCATAAAGGGCAATGTACTCAAGACATAGAAAACAACACTGAACATATTGAACATCAACATCTCGTTAGAAAGTATACGCTTGGTCGAGATCAAAAAGTCCTTGATGGTCGGTTTTTCCTCTCGCGTCTCGCTGATCGAACCGCTGGTCGACGCGTTTAATTGAACCTGAAGCGGCATCTCCATTTCCTGCAAAAAAATGTTAACGCCGTGTAAAAATTCGATCCTTGCGAGAAAAGTGAAAAATGTACCACATTTAACGCTTGGCCGTTCGGGCTCTCGCTCGAGCTTTTCGACTTCTTGAGCTCCTGCGGGAACATGGCCAGCAGAACGGCCAGCAGTGCCAGCGCCGCGCCCAGAATGATCCAGCCGAGCCACCAGGCCCCCAGCCATCTCGGGTCCGTCTTCTCGATCACGGGGTGCAGACTCGGATCCACGTAGAGATTCAAGCACAAGTAGCCCAAGACGAATCCTAACGCAGGCCCAATTGTACGAAAAGCAAACGTGATACCTAAAGCCAATATTTTCTTAACAAAAAAATTATTGCGCGCCGCTATACGCGATATCGTCGTGGTGTATGAAATATTGTGCGACGAGTGTTATTTTTCCTCGAGCGTTATTTTACCGGCATGCCGCGGCGTTGTTTACTTTGCGTTTGCTTTTTGTAAGAAAAAAAAGAAAAAAGAAGAGAAGAAGAAGGTGGCGTCGAGAATCCGCTGCACTCATACCAACCCAGAAGCATCGGCGTATTTTTCTTCTTCGTATTGTCGTCGATGTAGGGCTGGCCGAGCACGTAGTAGAGAGTCGTGCCGATCCCGAGAATGAACTGCGAGAAAAACACTATCAGGCGCGGAACTACACTCGTGTCGTCCAGCTGGGTCTGGTTGCACTGTTCGTGGTCCAATAACGAATCCTTGTTGTTGTCGTTGGATTGTAACGAGCAGACGAGCGAATCCTTATTGTTGTTGCCGTTGTTCGAGTCGCTGTTCTCCACGAGGCTCGCGTTGAGATACTCCATGGTCAAGGACAGGGCGTCCTGTCCAGGACCGTAGATGGCGTGAGGCAGCGCGAGGACGAAACAGGACAGCGAGCTCAGTGCCACGCCGACGGATATCCATCTGGGCCTGTGACCCGATCCTCCGTAGTAGATCAGCACGATCGACAGAATTTGTGATATCTCATTGCCGGATAGAATAATACCTGCGTGAACATAATTTTAATAAAAGATCGTTTGAAAAAAAACAGGAATATTAGTTATGAAAATTGTCAAGGCAAGTGATCATACAGCCCATCTAGTATGTCAGTGTTACGTTACCAATTGTCTGTGTAGGAATCTTGAACCTCTTTTCTAAGGTAGTTAAGCATACGACAACGTAAATGAATGCCATCGCTTGGACCGTACCGAGGACTGCGTAGACGGCAATGAATCCACGCGTCGATGCCCAATTCTGCAGACATTTCGGATAAATGCCGCAGAATCCGCATTTCGTCATGCTCATTTTTCTCGCCTTCTTTCCTAGTATCGTCTCGCACTGAAAGTCCAATTTAGCTTCATTGTCATAGCGTGCCAATTTTGCGGTGAGTAAAAGGATTTATTATTTATTTTCTACGATCTCGTGCAATCCTTCGTGCAATCGACTCACTATTTTAATACTCGTGTCGATATTGAAAATCGATCAACTTTTACTAATAGATGTGTAGAAAAAAAACCGGCATGATCGTCTTTTTGCGCGCTTTGTTTTTCGATTGTCGGATATATACTCGATGCGGCCGATGATTAATTAGTATGCATATTGGATCGTATCCGACATCACACACGTTCTTTTTTTTTGCTTTTCTTATGCGAGACTTACTCATGTGTAATTTGATTGAACGGGTAAGCCTGTTTTTTCTCTCTTGTATTAGATTTTTACGTATTTTTCGCTTCGATTTTATGTACTGATAGATTTGACAAAAATAATTACCCAGCCGTGTCTTTTTGGAAATATATAAATTTCGATTCTATGAATGTTATGCGAATGATCTGCGTCGTGTGCGCTATGCGCGCCGAATGATAAAATTATTGTCAAAACTGCATTAAGAGTTACTTATCTCTTCTTTTTTTCCATGTACATATACATTCAAGGTGTATTGGTTATGTACAATAATTTTCTACTGACGTTTTTATTATTAAGATAAAAATCTTTACAAACTCATTCAATATCGAATCCTTCGTCCAATTAGAAACCAGTAAATTGAGTAGAGGCGTGTATCACTTGAACTCACTGATGATTCGGCGTTATATTTATTTATTTATTTATTTATTTTGCGTTTATTTGTTAATTCGGATTTTCTCTTTCGTTGAATGATGAAAAAAGAAGAAATTATTCGAAAAAATTTTATCGCACTCTCTTACCTTGAAATCAATGCAAGTTGAAACGGTAATGTGTACCGACCGTTTCTACACACACAATGTCAATTACTACTAGTTGAAATTCTTACTTGAGTCTTCTTTCATCGGATTATTTTATCATCTAATACGTCAGCTTGAGAATCATCGTAAAAATTGGAGCAAATAATATGCAAAATAACCTGGAACACGATTGCCATCAAAGTTAACGGCCTTCCAACCATTGAAATAATTTTTTTATTTGATTTGTTTGAGGTGTTTTTGAGACCAAAAAATTTTTTAAAAAATTCAACCAAGTATTGATTATAGAAAATCTGAGATTCAGAGTAATCTTAAAACTCGTTGCAGTGCAACTCGTTACTGGTATGAAATTTTTAATTTACACGTTAATTTATACTCAAAAATTTTATTTTTTATGCTTCAGAGCTTTATCACGTGATGTTAAAAAAATGACAATTGAAAATTAAGCGTATGATCTATCGGCATAAATATTATCCCCTAATGTATCACCTAATATATCATTATTAAACAATTTCACTACCGGTATCGTCTCGAATCCGTTGCATGCTTTACCGATTTCTTCGAGAATCAACTTACGAGATTACGCTCCGTATGATTCACGTTGGTCAACGTGAATAGCGCCGCGGCTATACTGGGGATTTACTGGGGAGACGACAAAACTGCACTAGAACCTGCGGTACATCCTCTAACTTTTGCAGAGATCTATGTATAATCGAAATCCCACTCTTGACGCCTAGCAAGACGCTTACTTACTCATATGTGATATGTTATAACAAGTGTCGTTTAGATTTATATCTCGACGCTAAAGTATTGATACTTAGCATATGAAATATACATTTTTGGTAACAAGATATATTTGTGTACTTTTGCGCGGGCAGACCAGGAAATGTTTATTTTACTTGAAGCTTTGACTTATTAGGTGATTTTTTTCCAATCTGGTTAGTTTCATTTATATGCAGAAAAATTAACTTTTTCGAATTTTGGTAGAGAAAAATTTTTTAATCGAGTCAGCTTGGTATTTTCATTAAGATACATACAGTGTACATTCTTAAATTTGTGAACAGAAGTGCTTACCACAAAAAGCTTCGGTAAATGGGTCGGTACATTTTTCAATAATTTTATATCACAGTGCATATATTAAAAATTTATTTGCAATTGCGTAATAATTTATCTTCATTGAAGTAAGTGAAGAAGTCAAAAACACATTTTATTTAATTTGCTCAAATAAAACAGTCCAGTAAACATTTCTAATCAATCAATCGTTTCGTTTCATTCTTAGTTCGGTTGTTTATGATATATCTTAATGTGTCTGACATTAAAGAGAAAATTCGTACACGCAATTTTTCGTTTTCGTATACAACGTTTTCGTTTTCGTTTCAGAAAAATTATAACTTTTATCTATACAAATGAAAAATTTTGTGTGGAAATTTTCTCATATTAGGTACTTCGTTTTTTTCAATAATCCTGAACAAATAATGGAAAAGACGATGGAAAAAATCGAGTGTGATTTTAGAGTATTTTAAGGGTACAATTTTTTAAATAGAATTTTGGAAAATAGAATGAATAGATTCTACTCGTAAGAAAAGTTTTTTCTGTTTTGATTTAATTTGTTTATTATGGAACAGTTGACAAGGTGTACTCTCATCATAAAATTTTCAAAAGAAAAACTCTTATTAACGGAATAAGGCAAGTTGAAACAGATGAAACAAAGTATCATTCAGTATATTTTTTCTTACCAATGTATCAAATAACATCAAAATCAAAGTAAATACACGTGAATAGTATCTTTTGTTTGATCCATTATCCTTAAAAATACAACATAACGATTCGACAAATAGTCTTTTTTTAAAAACAAATATACAATATCAAATAAATACAATTTCGTTTCCCATGTATTGTTTTCAATGTGTCACGATTCGTCTGACTAGGCATTATTTGAACTAGCGACGCAGTTAACAATTGCGTCTAAAAAATCACATAACAGGTATTCGATCTTAATTAGAAAAAAAGTGATGCATTTCAATTCTAGTTATTTCTGGTTTGACAAGTAAACAAAAGCCAATCAGATAAAGTCGCTTTCCAAACTGCAATTTACCCGTTGAGCTTTTGCACTGTCACTAATTGATAAATATACAATGATTTATGGCGATGATCGAGTGGCCGGTAGTTGACAGTTTGCGCCGCGAGAGGGCCCATTGAGGCAGTCATCGTCGTCGTCGAGTCTTTCTTGGCTCGTTCAAACACTCATATGATTCTTTTGTGTCGAAATTAAAGAAAATGACTTCCCTTTACATTACACATTTGAAACGAGAATGAGCTTGAATTCTTTTTTTTTATCAATTAAAAAATGCACACAATCATTGAATTTGTACTTTAAAGTGATAATTTTCATTCACAATGCAATTGATTAATTCGGACACATTTCGATCGAAACATCACGTGCACTTTCACATACAGAACACAGCTAAAATTGTGATAAGCCTTTCAAATATCAAAACATATTTATTCTCGATCGTTGAAGTAAAATACGCAATTAATTTCTCAAAATTTCTAATAAGTTTTAAAAGTTAAAAAATTACAACGATAAAACAATAATACGATACAACAATAATCTTAGGTCGTTACTATATACAGATTTGTTATATAATACAAAATTATAGTCATAAAAAATTTGGCACATTTCATATTTATCTCTCGCTTGCTCGCTTCAATTATAATACTCGTCTTCTTTAATGGCCTTTATCTGATCTTCATCTTCGGGCGAATCCACGGCGCTACGTTTTGCCGCCTCCTCTTTCTCGCCGTACAAGTCCATATCTTTTACGAGATAACAAACGGCAACGTCGAACATTACGCCGATGAAACAAAAGGCTGTTGACAAAAACGAATTTTATTATATCATGTATACGGGGTGACAAAACGATATAATGTACTTTGCATGATATAGAAATGTAAAACTACCTGCAGCAGAAAAGTTGACCATATATCGGAAGCTGTCTCTGTGGTAAACCCAACAGTTGCCTCTGTTCTTGCAAGATATATCCCAGACGAGACAAGTGGAATCCATGATGGCCCCGAAAATGATCGGGCCAGGTATCAAAGCGAATAGGGACATGATCATGAGGGCCACACCCTGGGCCAAGCTCTTGTCCCGCGTCTCGACGCATCGGTAATTCACCAGAACGTTGCCGATTTTCCCGGAGCAGCCGAGTATGTTGACGATCATCGATACCATGGCGAAGATCATCTGGTACTTGAAGCAGTCGCGCTTGCAGGGACCCGCCTTCACCGAGTCGTAGACGACGAACGATGGAGAGTCGTTGCTGCTGCCCCCCAGGATGACCTCGTGGGCGAGATCGGCCGCGCAGGAGCAATCGCTGAAATGCGTGTCGTTGACGATCGTTCGACATCCGGCGTGACAGGCCGAGAAGAAGGTCGTGTTGCTCGCCTCGTGGCAGACGGGCGAATACTTGACGAAGTCGCAGTTGCAACCCAGATTGCAGGTCGCAGTCAGGTTGACACTGTGAATGGCGAAGGGCAGAGATATTTTAGCTTCTCAATTTCTCAGAAAATTTTTATTTTGGCAAAAAAAGTGAAAACTCACGAGGACTCACTTGTGGGTGGCTAAATTTATTCCTTGAACGGTACCCGTGTCACAGTCCAAAAAGGTGTAGGATATCTGTCCGAAGAAGTAGCCGAAACCCACGAGGACGTTCCAGAAGAGCAGCAGTCTTGGCGACGGTTTGTACTTGCCGATGATCACACCCGAGATCAGGAAGCCTAGTACCATACCCAGCAAAGTCACTGGACCTGTTGGTAAAAAGTTATCATCACTTTTTAAGACTAACCGTGATAAATCTTTTCAACAATTGTTAATAAAATCTCAATTGACCAGTGATGATGGTGCCTCCTCCAGGCGACGTCTGAAACTGCACTTCCAGGTACTTGACGACGAAGCTCATGAAGGGCGACGCGCTCAGTATGTAGAACACCGCACTGAATATATTGCTAACGAGTATCTTATTGGTAAGTATGCGCTTGGTCGCCGCGAAAAAGTCCCTCACGTTGGGCTTCTCGATGAAGTCCGAGGGCAGCCTTCGTTGGTCCGACTTCTCGTACTTGATTATTTTCGGTGTCTTCGTCTCGGCGTTCAACGGCTCCTCGCTCTCGTCCTTGCCGGAAGTCTTCGTTAATTTCTTAATTTTTTTGGGCGATTTTCTCAGCTCTTTGGGGAAGCAGGCCAGCAGGAAGGCGAAAAGGGTGAAGGCGCAGCCGAAGATGATCCAGCCGAGCCACCAGGCGCCGAGCCATCGCGGATCCTTCTTGTCGATGATCGGGTGGAGGGTGGGGTCGATGTAGAGCTCGAGGCAGACGTAGCCCAGGACGAAGCCGAAAGCGGGGCCGACGGTTCTCAAGGCGAACGTGATGCCTGCAATCCGATTTTATAATCGTAAATCGATAAATATAATCCAATCAAATAGGGAAAAAAAATTTCGAGCGCGCGATTTTATAACACTCGATAGATTTCACTGAATAAAACTTATATTGAGGCCTTATCTCATGATAAAATCGTTACGTCGCTATTATTTTACCGAACTATAGTATAACATCATCGACGGAATAATAACAATCGAAAGCTCTTGAAATTTGTTATGTATTTAGTCTCGATAAAGTCGAGTACTTCGTATAGTTTCCTCCAGCGCGAAACTATATAACTCAACGATTACCTAATAATTTGGGCGTGTTTTTCTTCTTCGTGTTGTCGTCCATGTAAGTCTGGCCCAGTCCATAGTACAGAGTCGTTCCTATACCCAAAATGAACTGCGAGCAAAAGACCAGCAGCCTCGGCAGCACGCTCACGTCCGACTCGAGGCCCACCTTCTCGGCCGTATTTTCGCAGCTCTCCGTTCGATTGTTGGCCGAGCAGATGAGCGAGTCGGTCTTGTTCGGCGAGTTGCCGCCCCCGAGGGTGGTGTTGAAGTACTCCTGGGTGAGGGCGAGGGCGTCCTGGCCCGGCCCGTAGATGAGATGAGGCGCGGCGAGCACCAGGCAGGACAGGGCGCTGCAGGCCACGCCGACGGCGATCCAGCGCGTGCGGTGGCCCGCACCGCCGTAGTAGACCAGGAAGACCGAGAGTATCTGAGATATCTCGTTGCCCGACAGTATGATGCCTTGACAGCGAAATAAATAATTATCAATCACATGGTAAACGCGATAATTATCGAAATTGTCAAGCAAAATCATTACCTGTGGATTGACTGGGAATCTTGAACCTCTTCTCGAGCGTCGTCAGGATGACGGACGTGTAGATGAAGGCCATGGACTGGACGGTGCCCAACAAGCCGTAGACGAGAATGAAGACTTTGGTGGTCGCCCAGCCCTGCAGCCATCGCGGGCTGATGCCGAAGAGGCCGCATCTCACTACTTCCTCCTCGTTCATTCTCGACGTCGTGCCAGCTCTCGGCAGCAATCCAATTAGCACACCTGAATATTATGCGATGCGCTACGACGATCGCGATACAGACAAAACAATTAATTAATTAATAATATACGGCAAGCAGCGTAGAGAATCAGCGCGCGGATCGTCATGCGTTATTAAATGTGTATCATTCGGCCGACGACGATGACAACGACGACGACGGCGACGACACGCGAATCGTGCGATAATCGTGTGCGCTAATGTTCCGCAATCATATCGTCAATTAGAAGATTAATTATCGGTGGGTGTATAACGCGTAGGCGCGTGAGTGCGCGCGCGAAAAATCGCCGCGAGCGCGGATATCTCGCCGAGCGATCGCCAGGAATTTTGATCGATTCGACTTTGATTATTTATTGTTTCTGCTTTTATAAAAGCAGTTGACCATGTGTAATGTGTATGAATATTATAGTCAAACGTGAAAAATTGTAATTCAATTTCATTTGAATAACGGGTACCGGATTGTAATACGCGTTAATCGTGATTCATTTGTTCATCGAGTTCCTGAAATTTTAATCAAACAAGCATCGGGCTCCCCGCGGCCTTTGACAAAGGTGAATTAAAAAAAAAAAGAAGAAATATTGACACACGCCGCGTTCACGTGAGCAGCTCACTATACCTGCATTAGGAAATGCTCGAAAAAATGTTCGTACCAATATTGACTCCGGACACACGCGCCAGCTGCTTCATTGACGGAATTCGGAAATCACGTTTTTTTTCTCTCTGCACTTTCTCATATTACAACCGTACGCATTTCGACATAGGTCGATTGCTATTCGCGCACGCAAAAAAAAACACACAGGCACTGCAGTCGACGACGCATCGCAAAGATCGTAAATGCGTGTCTTAATCTCCAAAGCCGTTCGGGCGCGCGCGAGCGATCAAAGGCGGATCGAGACGACGCGCGTTATAAAAACCAGATCGGCAAGTGATATATATAATGTAATAATCCGTGCGCGCGCGCGCGAGTCGAGTTACGCAAGATTTTTCGCTCTAGTCGAACGGCGGTTGTGCTGCAGTGTCGCGTGTGGCACGGCGGCTGCTGCGACCGCATTATCATCATCATCATCATGATCGTCGAGGCTCTCTCATGGAAGCATATGAGGCACAGATGAACCCACACAGACACATACATACTGACACACGCTTATAATCACACGTATACGTACACAGAAGTTGAGCTTTATAAAGAGTAATATGGCTATATGAATTGCGGATGAGCTCGCGCGACGACGACGACGACGACGACTTCGATCGAGAAGCTCGATCGCCGTTGTACTCTCGGGCGCACTGCGGATCCTCATGAATGTTTAATGCCATTATAGATCGATCGGTCGCTCGGGTGTGTGTAGTCTCGCGCTTATAACTCGCCTTTTTTCTTGCGCGGCATTATTTTCTTGGCGTAATCTCGGGCTTGAATATGGCTTTGCAGGTGAAAAAAAAGATAAGTTTTCAACGTATAGTTGCACGCGGGGCTTAGATAAGGAATTACAGCAACACGCACGCGGGTAAACACACAATCTATCGACAAGTGTACTTATTGTAGTGCGCCGATGATGATTTTTTCATTGTCATTAACTATATATCGGATATGTAGACTTTTTTCTGTCAATGGAAAAGCGATTGAGCGATTCATCGCGCCGATCTGTTGCGCCAACAATAGAATTGGAAAGATTATCGCGAGGCACAAATTGAATTAGTTACTTTGTACGATGCGCTCGACTTGCGATACATAGATGTACAACTTCCTGCACAAATACACTGGCACACTTTACAACGGCATTTAATCCATTTGCAAAAGAAACACGATCGACGTGGCTGTAAATGAGTATTTATATTGGATAATTCAGACAGAAGTGCACTAATTTCCGAGAGCTTCCTTATCACTTTATATTATACGTGAAATTTACGTTTACTATGAGTTTTGACACGATATCGATAAGTATTCTATGACGAGTCTCGATCGACTTGAAGCTATTGCCAAAAAAAAAAAAAAAAAAAGGAAAAGACGTGTGTACTCACTCGTGTGAAAGGTGGCGTATCGCTATCGAAGTTGAACTTTCGACGCAAGGATAATATTTCGACAAGGACTGTGAATTCCGTGCGAGCTCATATATGATAAAGGACGCGCGTGCAACGTCAAGAAGAAAAAGAAAAGAAGGAAATTGTCGACGCGACGCCGTCCGTGCCTCGGAACTCGACTGGCGTTAAAGCTCGCGTCAGGCCATATATGCCATGTAGCTATATATCTACTATACGGGCACACGAGTACTTTAATCATCAAATAACCGGGCTACAACTGATAATGGTTGGTGCTGTTGCATGCAATATAGCGAGCCGAGTCGCCGCCGCAACAGAGAGGCGCACTCGAGGCTCGGGCAAGCTACCTCTCTCCCGTCGAGAGAGAGCCAGTCGTGCTTGCAGCTGAGGCGAGATGTACTGCTGATTATGATGGGCGATTAAGCATATAAAGAGCCGAGAGCGCGAGACAAGTGTGTCGTCCGAGGCATACTGCGCTGAGCCGACTATATATATATACGTTATCTATCCGGACTGTTGGACGATTCAGGCGGTGCGTCGCTGTGTAGCGAGACATGCATGGTTTTGAGCTTTGCCGCTCTTGAGCGCGACGCACACAGGCCAAGTGCTGACATCTCTCTCATCGCGTGACAGATTGCGACGGTTCATTGTGAGCTTTTGGTAACTTTTTTGGGTAGATTTTACATTGGTAGCAATAAATTCACGTAATTGTGGTTCAACAAGCATAATTTTCATTTATAAACATGAAAAATTAATTCTGACAGATATATGATGTATGAACTTAAATGCTAAATTAATGGTACATATTCACAGAATACATTCATTTTCTACAAAATCAATCAACTCTGATAGCTGATAATTAACAATATTACTAATCTATACAAATTATAATAATGCTTATAATATGATTTTTACAATTCTAATAATAGTTATAAAATTACAAACTTGGAAAAATCTCTTAGATTGAAGTGATTCGCAAACTATGATTAAGCTCTTGATGTTACATGGTGATTTTAAGCATAAATGAAGCTTTAATCAATATGTTGACATTGTCAACAGAGCTTTAAGAGATCAAAATTATACTAGCGGTCTGACAAATTCATTGTACATAGTACACAACTGCATTTCGAGTAAGTCCAACAATAGAAACAAGCAAAGTATTCATCTGGCTGCATGTGAAAATGTACAATATTCTGATTCAAATAGGATGATCCAATTCAAAATGAATGACATCGTTGGTTCTCAAAACTGCCTCTGGTATTGTTCCCAGTGGTGTCGATAACTTTCTGACGTACAACTCCAAAAAGTCAATGTCACAGCCTCTAAACTCTGCTGCGACTGTAGTATTTTCATACAGATGAAACTTGGCTGGTTTCCCTGCAAAAATTAAAAAATAAGTTAATAAACAACAGAGAGACACATTTGTTTATAAAAATTTAGGTTATTTCATTTGAATTTTCAAGGCAATAAAATTTATCGCATGGATTAAATTTGCAATAAAAATAATGCATTACACAATCGAAAATTGAATAATCAATCAAAAATTTGCGAATACAAACTCACCGATGATACCAGTGATGACTCTCAAAAATCTCTCGCGCAGAAAAGCACGTGCCTCTTGTTTGGCCGGCTGCGCGCAATCCTCCTCGAGAAACTTATCGAAGCCGTTCTCGTCTTGCTTCTCGTCAACCTTCGGAGACGATTGTTTATCGTCGTCGTTAGACATGATTAATCTATGTAATGACTTGTTGAAAAACAACAACTGGCCGTAGATTGACGTTTGTTGTGCTGTCGCGTCTGTGTGTACACACGAAATCGTTCTGGTGCGTAGTGCGCGTCGAAATCCACGAGAGAGCGCTACCAGTGCGAATCGCGCGTCGTCGTGATAATGTCCATCGATTAAACTTTCTACTTTATCGGTACTTCGATCGGTACTTGGAAAATAATAGATCTTTTAATACGAATCAAAATCAGCTCGAAGTCAGCTCGTCATCGAATAAACCCGTACATAACAACACAAAATGCTTTTTCAATATTTTTCTTTGAACATACGAAGCTTTTAAAAGTTCAACCCGAGACGGGCGCTTTCACAAGTACTCAAAGTCGAGTATCAGAGAGAATAAGCTTATTGTGAAACGGGGGCACAAACATTTTCACAGCTTGGAGAGCTATAAAACATAAAGCTTGTAATCTACGAAATGGACATTGTTTGGGAGTAAAGTGACAGTAAAAAAAGAAGATGGAAAAAAGAAACGATAGCTACACCTCACATATATGCGAGGACGATGCGGAGGAGAAAATTTTTCTAATAAAGACATTATCTATATCGAGCGCACATAATTAACCCGGCCTCGAATCGTCGTCACTTTCTACGAGCGACGATGAGTACTTTTTTTTGCTGCGCTCGCAAAAAAACATGAGGGCAGTCGTAGTCGTTGGCTCGGTGCACCCGCATAATGTCTTCTGTGATCGGCAGGTTTCTCTCTCGTACGTAGTTGCTCTGTACACCTGAACGAGTGAAAATGTCCTCCTTCGAGCTGCTGTTTCGCTTATTTTTTCGCCTCTTCTGTCTGCTATTGATCTTGTCCACCGAACTTCGTGAGTACTATGTTTATTTGCATAAATATTGACGGACAAAAATAGAAAACGTATCGAGAAGAATTGACGAGTCTTTTGGTATCAGATCGGGTCGACGGTGCACCGACCGCTGCCACGAGAGTCCCGAGCAACATCAACAAACGAACGAGCACCGCCAAGTCCTCCTCGGATGCTCGGCTACTCGGCGGCCGATTGTCCCTCATGGCCGGTCTGGGATCACCGGCCCATCATCATCGGCTTCCTCTGATTCCGTACGGCAATCATCAGGGCAACGAGGTCGAGCGCATATCGTCGTCGTCGTCGTCGTCGTCGAGTCCGCTGTACAAACTGCCACTGGCGCACTCGGGCTGGGCACCTTACTTGGCAGCGATCTACGAGCCTCCGCCTCTTTACTCGCTCTTCCAGGATCCTCTCGGCTACTTGGCCGCTCTGCTGAGTCCGAGCGTCGATTGGTTCACCGGCGGCGACAGCAGGACCGCTGCCGATTTCTTCCAGTCGACCACCAGCCCGATGATGGTCGGCACGAGTGGTAGCGGCAACGAGAACGACATCGTTGTGGTGTTCGACGATTCGGACAACGAGATACCGGATGATGGTCGAAAATTACTAAAGACCGATGGTCTGTTCGAAGGTCGGATGGATAAGGTGAGTCGAGCTGCTTCAGATGTAGGATATATTTTTGACTCTATTTTAGGGTATACTCCCTGGTAGAAATTCTCAAAATTGTACGGTCAGCCAATGAAAAAGGTATTTCTTGGGCATAAAATGCTCATTAGAACTCGACATATATTCAAGAAAAGTCGTAAAGTTTTTTCAACATTTCATGTACAAATAACGCCTCACGATTTTTTGCTATTCAATGACCACTTTCCATTTACTTTAATTACTGCTCCAGTTTAGATATCGAAACAGTGATTATATCAAGAACGTTTTAAAATTGTATGATTATTTTTACTTTGCCATTTGCCGATTTTTAGATAAAGTCATTCGCCACCTAGTGGTGGAGGCTTGAATTGCAATTTTTAATATTACAACACAAAATTGTTAAGTTAAAGCTACAGCAAAACCCTGTTTTAACTTATACAATTATTTTGACTTTGCCACTTGCAGATTTACAGACTTGAAGGTACTGGCCATTTAGTGGTGAAGGCTTAAAGCAGTATTATAGTATTTAAAGTTAATGTGATTGAAAACTGATACACACCTTTGAAACACTTGAACTCAAATCGTCATTTCAAATCATTTAAAATCTGTTTGATATTTTTAAGACTATTGCATGAGAAAAATACCAAGCCAATCAATAATAATTTATATTAAACATTCAGCTTTTGGTCATCAGGCTATTATGTATTAATTTTGAGCTTTTCTAGGCAGTGTTGCGTTCATAAAATATTGTTTTTTAATGTACTGAATTACAGTCCGAAAACGCAGGTAGCAGCACTAGTGCAGCCGAATCTACCAAGACAAGCACCGTAACGACGCATTCCATCGTCAGCGAAAAAAATACCATAGCCCCGACGGAGAGTATTCGACGTCAAGACGCAGGCGAGACGAGTCGCGTGACAACAACGACGGCAGCGGCGAATTCTCAGTCAGGCACTCGGAGACCAGCAGCGACACAGCCTATTAATAATAATAATAATAAGAGGCCAGGGGGTACGATCATCGGCTCGAACGGCGGCAGACCAACGGGGCCGCTGAAGCCGATGAAACGACCTCCTGGGCGACCCACGACGACAACCACGACTCAAGAATCCACGAACTTGTCGACGTTTCAAGATCAGTCGGACGGCTTGGCCGACGCGGATTACGACCCAACGGATACTCCCGCGGCGATGACGACGACGACGATGATGACGACGACGGCTGCCAACTCGACTACTCGTCCAGCTACGACGAACACGACGACTACCGGCTACCACGACGGCTACTACTATTACGGGCATCACACGCAGAACGTGTCGCACGTGGTATTCACGACGACGCCACGAGCCGAGACGATGCAGCCGTCGACCGAATCGTTGGTACCACTGAACCTAGGCGGTGGTGGCAATGGCGGCGATACCGATCGATTCTTCGGACAGCAGCAGCCAGGGCCGATCTATCAAGATTACGATTATCAGTCGCCGATAGCGAGGTTCGATTATTACAACCACGAGGAGCCGCCGTTACAGCAGCCGCCGATCGAGTACACGTATCCGCATCATCATCATCAACATCATCACGATCAGCCGGCGAACAATCATGTGGCCAATGAGCATCTCCGTCAGAGTCAGGAGAGATATTTAAATGGATTCAGGCCGAGCGTCCCATATTATGTTTTTAAATAGAAGCATACAACGTGTATTATAACGCTTAGCTTGTAATGTATTAATACATTTTTACTTTTTTACACGTTCCATCATATATATAATATAAATAAGAATTGCGTCAATAAATTTTAACGCCTTGTACTATACACGCGCGAAAACGTCTATTTGTATATGAGCGTGTAATTCGTGACACGTAGAGCATGTATAATCAGTGAAACTTCCCGGATCGTGCAGAAAATTTATCAATGTCCCGATCGTTATATTATCAGCCGCAGTTGTCAACGACTCGCTCGATATAGTAACGAGAGAAAAATCCGCGAAGGGCCCTCTCGAGAGCCCAACAGCTCTCCGATCGGCTCTCTCAATTTCCATCACCGATATCGAGCGCGGACTTGGACGTTATATTATTATATATGGGCAAGTAAGTATATACGCGAGTAAGTTTATACGCGCGGAAGATGCGAAGACGGAAATAAACGACGGACGCCGACGACGATCTCCGCGAGGATGAGTTACTTGCGTACGAGGCACGTATGCAGGAGAGAGAGCAAAAATATATATTGTACAGAGAGAAGATGGGGGAGGGGTTAAAAAGCCCGACGACGTATTTTTGGAGAAGTTTGGTAGGAGTCTATTTTCGCCTGTGCATACACACACATACTGTCTCCGTATAGAGAGAAAGAAAGAGAGAAGAAGAGCGACAGATCCGAGCCGCCGCCTCTCGTGTGAGAGCTGCTCATTGTATACATTTTAATATATTACGCTGCAAATGAGCTAGTATTTCCCTTTTTCGAATGGCTATGTGTGTGTGTGTGTGTGTGTGTGAGGGTATTATTAATGATGAAAACAAATGTTGCGGCTTGGCGACGAGTAACGCGCCGCGCTAGGCGGACTTCAAAGGTGCTATTTTTCACGCTGGCCTAACTACCAGCAATTTTTACTGCGGGTAATTAACCGACGATGATCCACTCCATAGATTTACGGTTTCGTACACCCAATGAACTACGATTATATATATGTATTTTAATGTTTATTACGATTCGGAGTATATAACAGCTCGCGACGAGATATACATTAGAAACTCGATTGAAACGGCCTCATGCACGAGCCTCGCATAAATCCTTTTAAATGTCAATCTATATAATCTCGACGATCTCGAGGCGTTATTTACTTGCCTCCGCGTATATATAACAACGCGATTGGTAGGTATTACGTTGCTGGTATATGTATACAAGTATAGAAAACGAGAGTTGAACGGCCCAAAATTTCCGGTCTTCCTCGCTCGACATCATCCAAGATTCTTTCATTTTATTTTGCGTCCTCTCTTTCTCTCTCTCTCTCTCTCTCTCTCTCTCTCGATACGCCATGCTTTTCATATATATACGTGCACGCGGGGATATGGAAGCTATACGGTACGAGTGTGCGTGTGTGCGATATCCGCATGGAAACGGCATCGCAGGCCCCGAAACCTAATAGGCCCTGCATCCTTGCCCTGAGAGAGAGAGTGAGACACTTCAGGAATATTTCCTGCGCGCACACGTCGAGGCTCTTGTGAGCTGCAGCACGTATATATCTACACGTATATAACGCGTGTATATCACGTTAGAGCCGGATGGGAAACCGCAAGTGCACCGATCGAGTGCTACGAGTAGTAGTAGTAGTAGTAGTAGTAGTGGAGTCTAGCGATCACAGAACAGAACGTCGAGCAGACGTATATAGCGCATCCTCAAAAGCAAGTTATATGTCACATGGATCCTTGTGGCACATACAGCTCGTCTCCCAGCCCAATCGTCATAAAATAATTTACTTTTACTTTTCTCGCTTGGTAGCAGCGACTCCTTTTTAAAAAATGTCTCTCGGCCAGCATCGAAATGCCCCGC